ACCCTGAAACTCACAGAAAAACCTCAGAAGCAATGGGACGGACTAAGRTTTAGTCATATTCATTTTTCAGTGTTTTAGCGTTTGTCTTACATGCAATTTCACCCTGGATTCCTTGTTCTTGAGCTTGTATTTTTGCTGACACAGCTGCTGCAGCAAGAGCAGCTGCAGCTGGTAGAGTCCCTGGTGGAGGAGCAAAACTTGGTACTGATAAACCACCTGATGAGGGTGGAGTTATGGCTCTGCCGACTCGAAGGAATTGCCCACCAAGATCAAAGAGGTTCATAGATGCAATGGCATCATTGGCTGACTGTTGGTTTTCATATTCTATGAATCCGTACCCCTTGTGTTTGTTAGGCATTACTTCTGTTGCTAAGGTGCAGCTGACTACCTTACCAAATGCTTCAAACACACTAAAACAAACAAATTCATACTTTAGATTGGGATTTAGGCCCCGTCTACACTATGCCGGATAAATTTGARTCCGAATTTTTATTTATTTGGTTCCATTTCGAAAATTCGTTTTCGGTGAAGAATTGTTCTGGATTTGCCCAGACCAGTGTGGACAGTAGGCCTAACCAAATAAATCAAAATTCGGATTCAAATTTATCTGGCATAGTGTGGACGGGGCCTTATACATGTTCATGGCAACAGCCACTGAACAAACAACATATCACGAGTGGAATAACTGTTCTCTCTCCTTTCACTGAAAACCAAAAAAAAATTCCCACTACAAATGCCACACTTTTTTTTGAAGTTCGCATTAAATTTCCCCCTGTGCATTCATGCTCTTACAATATGTAAATGCCATCATATACCGGGAGATCACATTTGCATTACCCTGTGCTATCCTGGGGGACTGGACGAATAAGGATTCMATTAACTAGTGCATCATAAACAGAAAAAATTTTCTATGACAATAATTAAGAAAGTTGTACATCACTCTTGGTATCTACAGTAAAGACCCAATAACAAAATGCCAAGCTACAGTTCATTCAATCAGAAATCTTCAACACAATAACACCACAGTACAGTAATGTGATAGAGCCTCATAAATTCTAAACCACATTAATATCTTACCTTTTGATATCATCTTCATGCAGGTCAGGATGTACAGATGCAATATATATTCTGGCATATTTTTTAGCCTCTTGTTCAAATTGTTCAATGAGAGGGGCTGCTTGAGGTACATTACTTGGACGACCAACCTTTAAGGCAAAAAACTTTAATTAAACTATAATTCAGCATGATAATTATAAATTATCATGAAGCTGTGATTTCATTGGATATGAAGAATGGTTAGTCAGGTGTTAATAAGAGCACTGGCATCTCACCAATGCGACTCAGGTTTGATTCCAGTTTTTAGTGGTATATGCAAGTAGAGCTTCTAGTATGTTTTCTCCTGTGCTTTGAGGGTTTGTCTCTGGGTTCTCTGGTTTTTCTCTCTCCACAAAAGTCTACTTTTAAATTTCAATTCAATCACAGAATGAGGACCACAGGGTTTGTTAGCCACTGGCTTTAAGTGCTACCCTTACAAAACAAGGACAAYATTCATTTATTTGGTGAGATCAGCATTATTTCTTTGTTTAGTGATTGAAAAGAAACATACATGTAAATATGGATACAACTCAAACAAAAAATATTATTCTCAAGMGAGTGACAAGTGGTCTAAAATGGGCAAAACATTACATCCAAGTGGATTTGGGCCATGATCAACTCATCATATGCCTAGTACCTTGATATTTCGTCCTCCCAACAATACTCCATTCATTTGTTCCAAGGCTAATTGTGCTGCTTCTGGTAGATCATACTCAACAAAAGCAAATCCCTTGAAAAAATCATACAATAAACCATTCATCATAGCCAATCAATAAAAAATCTTTATCATTACTAAATAATAATTAATAATTATTAAACTCATTAATAATTCATGAGGAAAACACAACAAAAATCACAACCGTGAAGAGTTTTGTAAATCAGATACAGAATCCTGTTCATTTGCATWAACTTTAAGATGGATTTTCTTGGCCAGATTCACTTTTATCTTGAAAATTTTAGCAAAACACGAAGGAACTAACCTAGATGTTTGATAAGTAATCTACAGTATTCGTGTCTGTGTTGTATCCAATATACAAACTCTCGGCTACGCCTCGAGCTCGTATATCGGATACAACATGGCCACTCATACTGTATATATTATGTAAAATTTAATAAAAACTCTTTATAAAAAATATTTCATGATAAACAACGGAACATTTTACACTTATTGAATACATCATGCAAAGGGCAGTGCATAGCTTACCTTATGTTTCATGGTAAGAGGGTCCCATGATAAATCTATCTTCTTGATTGGACCAAATGGTATAAATGCTTGTCTGATGTGTTCTTCTCTCAGCTCAAAGTTTATGCTACCAACATATACCCTATGATAAAAATAAATATACTTACTGAAATGAAAATTTCTAGCCCCCACCCCTCCTTTTTTTTWATAAAGAAGACAATGAAATCCTCAAAGGAAAGGCACCTTTCTTTCCATGGCTGCATTTGCATGTCCACACTTTACTCAAAACAAAAAGAGATCAAATGAATACTGTATGAGAAGTTAAAGTCAAGTTACCTGCACATAAGAGCCAGAGCTCGTTGTCGCTGAGCTGCGGTTTGCAGAGCTGACATCTGTTGCTGTTGTATGGCTTGCTGCTTCGCAAGAACCTTGCAAATATTCAAACCAAAGATTTRTTATTTTAAGAGGTTTATGTATGCCAATCACAATAGTTACGTAAGGTATTACTTGGTTATTGTTGTAAAATTGATTTTAGTGTTATTTTCAAATCATAACTTTGAGCATACCTGCTGTACAGACTGTTCCATGGCATATCTTTTGGCTTTTTTTAAAAGTTCTTCTTGTGTGTACACCAGAGCAGGTAGACAGCGTTTTACTTCTGACTGTCTTGGTTGCATCCCTCCTGCGCCAGGGCCAAGAACAAGCTCTCCTYGTGTTCCATCATCTCCAGGTTGTTCGTCCTTTTCACCATTACCTGGAATATTGGACCGCAATATTAGAGTATATTTGCAATAACAGGAAAGCATTCAGAAACTTATAACTGGAATTCTCAAGCTGGGAGAGTTGTGGGCTTCAACTTTGATTCCAAAGAATATAATCTAATACATTTCTTAACCAACACTGATACAAATTAATAAACATAAAAACATTTAAAAAAAAAGTTAAATAATCAAATTTTAAAACACTCATTAATAATTCATAAGCTTATGGTCCAATTGCAGCCACCATACACGTCACATGCATGGACCTTTATACCCGATAAAGTCCTCTTTATTAGTATTCAAGTGATTTTATATAAAGACACATGTGTCTTTATATAAAGACCACTCGAATACTATGAGGATGACTTCATCAGGGATGAAGTATGCTTCCAAGTTTAGATGAAGACTTAGAGCCTCATCAAGGTCATAGTCAACCCTAAAGATCTTTGACTAACGTGCCTGTCTTTGCCTTGGCACGCAATATCCAACGTGTGGGAGCTTCTATTGAATCTGGTTGCGCATGCCCGTGACATCAAATCTCTATCGAAGCATAAAAATCCATGTTCGTGACGGCGGTGTATGGTGGCTCCAGTTGAACCAAAATCTTATAAATTGTTCATGAGTATCTTAAGCAGTTCAAAAAACTCGTAGACCATGTTTTATCAGGTATAAAAGCACTCGGCTAAGCCTTGTGCTTTCATACCTGATAAGACTGTCACTCCTACTCGTTTTTTAAACACTACATAAAATTGATACAAAAAGATATAAATTATTTTAGCACAGAGATCCTTCTTTGCAGCTTGATCTGCAAGGTCAGCATACAATTGCCATCACTTGTGATAAGTTGAAGAGTATAAACTTAAAAGATAGTTTACCACAAATCATAATGTATTTCACTCACTCCACGGGCCATGGAACTATGATACACATGGCACATACTTCAAGCTAAATTGTTTGTCCAGGTGTCAAGAGAAAAAAGAGAAAAACAGAGAAAAAAATAGGAAAGAAAAAATTGTTACATCTAGTGGATCAATTGATAGGGTGAACACATAACAAAACTGGTCTAAAATAAGGGTTTTGGGGGTGAAAAACTTAAGGGATTGGTGTAAAAATGTATAATGAACCAGATGAATGAAAAATACTGCCGTTTCCCACTTTTGATGCCCTCTACAACTCAGACTTAGTCTCATTTTTGTGCAGAACATTCAACAAGGCATATAGAACTTCAAAGACATTTTAAATATGACGAGCTTCTTTACTGTGGGATTATCTTGGCATGTGAATATTTTGACACTAAAATGAGGCTAATCATACTCTTGCATAAACACTCGGAAYAAAGCAAAACAAAATATCCAAAAATGCATTTAAAAAGAAAAATAATTGGGCATAGRAATAATCATAATTGGATATTATTGAGACAGGTGTACAATAACCAAGTTCTAGGAACAAAGGCAGGAGCTTTTTATATTTTCAATGCTAGAATACAATTTCATTATTAATTATTGTTGAAAAGAGTATGAAGAAATTGTCCTGTTGAATAAGGTAAGCTGTCTTCTGGTAGTGTTTTGTGTAGACTGACCTCGGAATGATTCCCTTCAGACCCTGACAAGACACTCAATCAAACATATTTCTAGTCAGATGGGAAAACTTCATTATTTAACAAGGATTTTTTTTCTAATTTCCCTGATAATATATTCAGGATTCCCTCATTAAATTTATGTAGGAGAATTTTTTTAGAAAGCAAAGCATTACCCATGTCAGGTCCTACGTCGAATCCTCGTTTTCTTCGTCGTCTTTGCCCTCCTTCTGCTCCATCTGCACTCGCTGCTGGAACTTCCTCAGTGGAATCAGTTTTCGATGAGTTGGACATCTTGAAGAATAAATTAGTATGATAAATAACAATCTTGGACCTTCAATTTCATTGATTTAAGCCAAAGTAGAYATAGGAAATTTACAAAGGTAGAAATACAGGTAAATGCGAAAAAAGATGAATACTTTTTAGTTTGTTAGGAACAAATATAAGACACTTCGATGCTAGTGTCAGGAAAACTATGAATTAATTATCAATTTCACACAACATAATCATTCCCCATAAAGAAACCAATCGACCAATTGCAATCCAAAAAATAACGAGAAGGTCTTTAAATGGAAGACTACAATGTCTAGACAAAAAGATATACGTTGTACCTGAAAGTTCAGGCTAAAAACATAAGGACGAAAAACATGGCTTTAATTTGATTGAATTGTTGTGACCAAACACGCTTCAAAAACCTAATGAAATATCAATTTTTCAATAAAATTATCAACCCAAATAGTTCAGTTGTTATTTAGTAATAGTTTTATGAAGAGAGCGCTTTATTACCTCTCCATTTACAGCSATTAAATTAGGTGTCTCTGATATTTCCATATCCTCAGTCGCCATCTTTCTTGCAGCGTGGTTTTCCTTTGCACCGAGCAGACGAGGCGTTATAGAAGCAGAAAACCCATTGGTCCAGCACTAACAACTATTACCCAATCACCTCTACTTTTGAATCTACGAAACTATTTCGTAGTAGTTCCAATATAGTATCTTGCTCGCAATTGGTTCAAGTCTCGCCAAAGCCTTTGTCCAATCAGAGAAAGGTTTATATATTGGGTATATTTATGTACGTATTTCCGGTTTCCCGTTGCTGTCCCAAAACCAAAATGGCTGACAAGTGTCTTGAAGTTGTTTTTCGTTTGCCATTCCTAATTTCACTAGAATGGCTCCTGCTAGACACCACCACAATAYTTTTCGATTCTTGGAATTATTTTAATTGCATTCAGATACTTGGTAAGCAAAGATTTAACAGGAATTAGATTTTGAAGAAGTATTTTCGAGGTCGATCAAAACGACGAGGGAAACCAATAATAATATTTCAAATTTCTTATTCACTTATTTACGTCTGTATATCAAATATATCCCCACCAAACGCTCGATCTATAACGATTTCACCTAAATTAACTAATCCTATAGGGATTTTAGGGATTGTGGAACTATAAGTCATCAAATTTGTGAGTGGTGTTTCAAACATTAAGTTTTTGTATAGTTGTACATATAGCTTAACAGTGGTTCATCTAAAAATGGAAAAAAATAATCTAAAAATTAAATCTCTTACGAAAACAAGGCTCTCGGAATGATCATGTATTTCAACCAATAGGAAGTCTTGAAATTTATTAGAAGATTACTGACGTGGATTAATTGTTATGTTGAGCCCCTCCTTCTTTTCGAGTATACTGGTCTAGTTTCTATCCCACTACCCCCCATGGGGCATGCACTCTTTCAAAAGTGCTCGAAAGAACTGCTTGTTATATTAAATAGCTAATGGTCTTTTTGTTTATTTTTAATTTGCAGGAGTGATAGCAATGGTAGGCTTGTTCCTTACAAGCCGAGATCAGCTCTTCACATTCTACAACTATATTTTGCTATGTTTGGACTTGTCAGCAGTTTTATACCTAAATGTATATAACTCAGTGGATTTCTACAGTACGATAGAAGAGAGAGGCTTTAAAGGTCTTCATTTTGAAGATATTTTCCCCTTGCTACCAATCATTATATGTGCATGGATTTTCTACTTAATATCAGTTATTTTGTACTCAAGAACTCTACATTCCTTGAAGCCGATTATTTTCTCTCTCTCAAGCATTCCTGTCATCACACGTTTCTTATATCCTCCAAGCTGGAAGGAGTACCCATCAATGTGGCTGTGTGGATGCTTTGCTGTCTCAGTATTTCTAGTGATAGAAGGCATTTATAATTTGTTTTGTAGGATTGTATATGAAATCATAGACTGTGTAAGAATCATGCAGTGGATGTATAGAATGTATGGATTTACTATTTTGATTATGTTTCACTGGCAAAGGCTGGAAGTCCCAACTTGTCTCATCACATTGTTTGCCTGCCTATTTACGTACAATACTCTGGTGATTGTGGTATTTTCATACGAGGCATGTAGTTTGTACCAGGTGTTTCATTTTGGCATTGCACAGACTTGTAATTCAACTTTAACCATGTTGGCATGCTGTTTTATCATCCAAAAAACATGTGGACTGTTATTACTCTCAATCAAACTAAGTTTCCATGGTGAATATGCTTTACAAAATGAGGAAGCTGTTGGGTCACCCAATGGGATGAGAGAGGGCTTTGGATTCTTTTTCCTGTGTCTTTATACTGGACTTTCTTCATGCTCGCCAAGCCGCAAACTAGCACTGCTTCAGGTTATTTTCTATCTCATTGTGTCTGCGATGGTAAGATCAATGTTTGAAGTTGTAGAACCGAATTTGATTGCACTGCCATCACGAAACAATGCTAGCTTCAAGAAACACATATACCCTTTAGTATTCTGTGTGTCACTTCTTAGTCTCTCAATCTACTTGGCTATAAGTGTGTACGGATTGAAGGAGAGAATACCATTCATCACTCCGAACATCATTACCATTGCCCAGATACTAGCAGCACTCACACTGTACACCTTATACAGATATGAAGCACAGCAGACTGAATTATGGGAAGAATTGGATGACTACGTTTACTACGTAAATGGTGGCTGTCGCCTTTTTGAATTTGTTGTCATTTCAGCAGTACTTTGTTATAGAGTCTGTGATTTTAGTCTTGAATGGACTGTATTTCAAGTTATCATGGCAATACTACATATTTATTTCAACATCTGGACACCAGCCAAAGAAGGATGGCAAAGCCTAAAGATGCGACACCAAGTCAAGCAGAAGTTGAATTCTCTTCCTATGGCAACACAAGAGGAGATTGAAGTCCTTCAAGATGTTTGTGCAATATGCCTAGATGAACTAAAGGCAGCTAAAGTCACTCCTTGCAAGCATTACTTTCATAGTTTGTGCCTAAGAAAGTGGCTAAATATCCAGAGCAAATGCCCAATGTGYCATTCTAGTATCATACCACTGTAAGATGAACTCTCTTAGTAATGTAGGTATTTATTTAAGTATCATTCATTTTTTTACCCGTGTGGGCAGGGACACCATGACAGCATAGCAAATTACTGTAGGCCCTTTAGTGTTAACAGGGCTTTGAAGATGGTCCTCATCAGTGCCTTCAGTGGCTCTTTTAAGTCCACCTTACAAAGAGTTGTTTAGTTGGAAGACAGACCGGGCCTAAGGTTTTAAGTCCTTGTCTGAGAAGACTTGAATGTCTAACCATTTGTAGATATAATTACAAAGGCAGCACCTTCTCAGTTATTTTAAGACCCTGAGTGTTGGTCAGGTTGAGGCTTGAACCACCTTCTTCCAACCCTGTTAACCGAGTGGAATAGAACCCTTTAGTTACCACATGGATTTCCATTTCAGACCATGTATTATTCTTAAAAACCTTTGAACTTTAAAGTTCAATAATAATTTTGCTCATATCAAAAAAATTCCTGTTTTGAAGAATAAAACATGGCCTTAAATGGGAGAACATTACATCTAAATTCAATGAAAGAGGTTTATTATCAATGAAAGTACTGCTGTGTGTTATGTATGACATATAACAAAGCCAGTGCAGACTCGTACCCAGTTGCTTCTTGTCTTATTGATCATGCTGTGGTTGATGGAAAGGATTTAGTGAGTTCGCGGTGCATCAAGAGAAGGAAGGAAGAGAAAAGCGAAGCCATCGCACATTAAAAAAGTGTGAGTGACAACTGGGTACGCGTCTGAAGCGAGTGCAAGTTGTTATAAATAAGATGGAGCTTATCTCTGAAATGGTACATTTCAGTTCTTAGACATGGACCAACCCGGCCCAAACCACTTCTAGTAATTGAAGCATACCATTTAGAACTGGTTGCTTGGACCGATCGGTTCAACATAATTGAAAGTGCCCTTAGACTCTGATCTCCTCTTTTAGGTGTAATCTTTTAGGTCTGATAGAGCTCAGTCATGTAACTATTCATTGTACTTGATAAGATGAGAAATAAAATTCCATTCATTCTTAAAACTTTAATCAAAAATCACTGCTTAAATTACGTCACACTTAATTTATCAATGCAACATAAAACCTGATTCTATTTGATAAAACAAGCATTCGAATGACTGGTGGCTATACATTCTCTCCTACTGTCCAAAATACTTGAGAATAATAAGCTATGTTCGTTGGCCATTTAGTATGTTATTTCTTCCTTTCCATTGACTGGCTTTACTCTTTGATACCAAGGGCTTCCTCAAGTTCGCCATTTTCATCTAGTTCCTGTAGAGAAATATTTTCAATAAATCATATTCAAGGCACATAAATTCAGGAAGATATAGACCCCCTTCAAAATTATCTTGGATGCTTGTCCAACGAGAAAATTCAAAAGAATAACACTTCATTTTTTGTCAATAAGACGTCTACACGTATCCGTTTTTGCATGAAAATGCAAACTTTTTGAACTGTTTTTGAATATTTTATTGTCCACACGTACCGTTTTCAGATCATTTTTACCCGTCAACACTTATCCGCAAAATACAACTCAAGAATGAGCCTTCATAGTCTAAGAGCATGGACTCATCAAATATATGACGCAGTCTGATACTTTTTCCAATACAGTGAGGTCAGTGTTTTCAAAAAGTTTCATTTTCCCCCATCCACACAAATAAGTGAAAACAAAATTCCGAGAGCCATATCCACTGAGTTCGTTTAATACTGAAACCACTATAAAAGAGACAATGAAAGCTTACCCTAACAATATCCAGACCCCCTATTAGTTCACCATTTGCATATAGTTGTGGATAAGTGGGCCAGTTAGAGTGCTTCTTTAGACCTTCACGAACCTGTTCAATTGAAAAAATATGAAAATAATGCAGACTTACATTCTTAATTACCTTGGGATCATGACAGCTATGGGCTGGAGTAGTCTATACTCCAATATTCTCCAATATCTACTATTCTTTAGGTCTGCCTCCTTCCCCACAACTCTTCCTTGCATAAAACAATTTACAATATACAATTTTACTATACCACTTTTATGCACAAGAGGTAGCCCTTTCCAACACTCTAATAAGATTTAATGCTAATTTGATGATTTATCTACGATGCTTCATAATAATTACCTCATTATCTTGAAGGATGTCAAATGTCTTAAGAGGAATTCTATAGAAAGTAATCAAATCAAATTAAAATTATTTTTCTCCAGTCCAGTATCCTAAAGCAGTTGTTATTTTCTATCTCTGACTGCAGTAGTCTGGTATCCTGGTATAATGGACTGCTAAACAGAATCCACTAAACAACAAAACCAAATATAAAGTAACTGGGGGAAAAAGAAATATGTCTTTACCATCCTAAATTCAGTCTTGATACTGTGAAAACGGCCTTGAAAATTAAATGGACCTCAACCTATGGCCTCAGTCCATATATCAATGACCTCAGGCACAGTTACAGTATTCCCTATCTGACCTCCTGCTCCAGTCTGGTAAATAACCACTATATGCACAACTCAGGAATTTGCCAATTAAATTTCTCTAAGAGCTACTTTGCACAGTTAGATAGTAGCACTTTCACTGCTTAAACTATAAGATTTGGAGAAGACAAGTATTCAATGCACCCTTCTTAAAATTGTCTTGAATGCAAGGCTAACATGGAAATACAAAAGAAATGCCATGGAAATTCCATTGAGAAAAAGTGTTATTTTTTTCATACTTTTGAGATGGGTGCATAGTACCACCATAGTACACAAGCCGAACCTAATGACATAAAAAAATGACTGGCTAATTATCCATATCAACGTTTGACCTGAGCCTTAGTGATACATACCTTGGATTATACTTTGCAAGTATTCCAACCATTTGCCTACTGAAACCACATTTTGGGGCATCTTGATTGCCCTTCATGAACAGCATCACAGGAGAGGAGTTGATGAGGGACTCAAGTCTGGATTCAAAAAAAGAAAAGAAAAGAAAATCAAGATTTTATCTGGCTAGGTGATGAAAGTCGTAATATAATGTTTGATATAGGCTTGATATATTGCAGGTCAATTGTACATTGGAAATCACACAATCCAAAAATACAACTTTACAAGGCCATAGGAAAATTATTGAGTGTGTTGGTGTTAGGGGAGGGGGGGGGCAAAGTTGCAGACATCACGTTAGGGATACCATATCACAATTTAAAGTGCATATGAACCCTTCGACAATACTTTCAGTACTGATTCTACATGAAGTAAATAGTTGAATGGTAAAATATTTTTTGATTTGAGTGATGCGTCTCTA